AGCCCACCGGTGGGACCAGGCTCCTGTGTCATGTGTTCTCAGAACCGAGTTCATTCTTTCCTATGCTGCCCAAAGCAGTAGCTACTAGCCACCTGTGGCTATTCAGATGCGAGTTTAAGATCATAAAAATGAAATAAAATTAAACATTTGGTTCTTCAACTATATTAGTCACATTCTAAGGGCACACCAGCCTTATGGGTCTGTGCTGCATTCACCTATATCCGTCAGGAGGGAAAGATCTGGGCGGACTGTCCCGGATTGCTCATCTCCCTCACTGATGAGACATTTATTTGTTCAGTTATTATTGGGTTCATGTCTGTTCTCTGCGCGGAATTGTGAAGTCCATGAGGGCAAGCATCGCATCTGATTTTCTTCCCTCCGCATCCCCAACGCCTAGTCCAGTCTTGACACACAGAAGTTGCTTAGTAAACATCTGTTGAATGCTTCCCACCACTTTAGGATGAAGTCCACATGCCTTAGTGTGGCTTCTCAGGCCACATAAAGCAGTCTGGTCTCCTTTATCAAGCTCCTTCCAGATACTCTCTTCCTTGTCTCCAGCCATTCGGTTGCTCCACATCCCTTTGAGTTCCTTGGATGTTCCATTCCCTCTTGCCACTGAGCCTTCACAATGCTGTTCCCTCTGCCTGTCTCATGCTTCCCCTACCTCAGCTTCTCAAAGCTCATCCTTCAAATCCAAGGGTTAAAGATTAAATGTCTCTTCCTCCAGGCAGCCTTCCCTTGTTCATTTAGTCTGGTTTAGCAGCTCCTCCTCCATGCTCTTAGAGCACTCAGTATTCCCCTACTCTTAGCACACTGTCATATAATGGTCTCTTAATATCTTTATCCCTCTAGCTAGATGGTAAGCCCCGTAGAGAGGCTGTGTGTCTTATAGCCACTATCATATCCCCTTGTGCCTAGATCAGTGCCTGGCAAAAAGGAGTCAATCAGTCAAAAAAATGTTTATTGGGAATCCCTCTGTGTCAGGACCAGGCTGGGCACTGGGTGTATGTTAGTGGACAACAGAGACATAGTTCTGACCTTTAGGGGCTTCCCCAGTCTTCAGAAACTCTCATTCAATGTGTCTTGAAAGAACTAAAGCTGTGTCTGATGAGATTGGCCTGAATTGGGAAGTGATGGTTTCTCTGACAGTGGAGCTAAGGGAGTAAAGCCAGGGAAACCACAGGAGGGACCTCTGCACTCACTGGACTAGTCACAAGGGCAGTGGTTTCCATGTAGGGTGCAGGGGAGACAGGGAGAAGCATCTCCCAGGGCATGTGTGTTTAAATAACTTAGAGTCTTTTTGAGATTTTTCCCCCACCCCCAGAATCACTGCTAGAGTTTTCCTGATAATAACAGCATTGTTTATTGCACATCTAGTATATGTCATTTAGAACATTACCTGTTTGAAAGGCTTTACACGCACAAACTCATCTCAGCCTCTTGAACACTCTATAAGGGTGGGACAGAGATCATCTCCACTTTACAGAGGGGACACAGAGAGGAAAAGCAACTTGCCCAAGGTCACCCAGCTAATGAATGGTAAAGCCAGGATTGGAACCCGGGTGGTCCTTTCTGATATGTTCTCTTAATCACTGACTTAAAGCCTGATGGCAGGGTGGTGCGTGTCTCAGGCGGGTGGGGGCAAAAAATCAAAACAAAGCTGACAGCCACTCAGATGGAGAGTTGGCTCAGAACTCGGTCATTCCCTCCAGTTGTGAGGCTCGTGTCCTTGGTTTACCTTGGTTGGGAGACACAAGTCCCAGGAATCTATTCAAGAATGTTCCAAAGCAGGACACAACCCAGTGCTCCATTTGGTGGCCCAGCCTCGTGGGACCGGGTGGGATACAGGAGAAGAAGGAGGGGTGAGTGCTCAGGGACAGGCAGGGCAAGGGTGCATGACGCTGACCAGATGTAAAGTTGGCCCAGAGCCTGGGGGCTGAGCACAGTGAGTTTCCCCCACCTGTTCCAGAAAGACTCGACCCACTGTTGTTGTTCTGTCACGGGGTTATTGTGCCCCTACTGTGTTCCAGGCATGGTGCTGGCTGCTAAGTGCCCAATGTGAGCAGAACACATCCAATCCCTGCCCCATGGAGTCTGATGAGGGAAATAGACAGCCATACACTTGTTAAACACACGAGCAAATAACTACAAAGGGAGATAAGTGATCTAAAGGAAAGAACATGTTCCTTTGGGAACACGTAACAGAAGGATCTGGCCCAGGCTGGCTGTGAGTGGGAGGAGGAGGTCAGGGAAAAACTCTCTTACAAATATCGTTTAAGTTGAGAAATGGGTGATAAGTTGAAGTTACTCGGTTAAAGGGGATGGCAGAAGGGATTCCAGGTAGAAGGTTCAGCACATGCAAAAGTCCTGTGGTTGGAAGGAGCATGAGGAATTGGGGCGTGAAAGAAGGCCAGAGAGCTAGAATGCAGAGCAAAGCAGGCAGGTAGCTCAGGCTGAGCTGGAGGGAGAAAGTGGGGGCCAGAACATGCAGGGCCTGTATGGATGGTGACCACACATCTCGGCTTGCCAGGGACAGCCCTGGTTTGCTTGTTTCCCTAGAAAATTAGGAATAGGGTCCCTCTTTACTCCCAACACTGTCTTGATTTGGATGACGGTATGTAGTCACCCTCTCAGGCCACGTTAAGGATTTTGTTCTTATCCTAAATATGGGAAGTCACTGAAGTGTTTTCAGCAGATAAGATCCTCCCTTGACAGTATCAGGTTCCAGTTTCCCAGATAAGTATCTGGCTGCAGTGAGGAGAATGGATGGGGGCACAGGGGCCAAGTGTGCAGGCAATAAAGCCGGTTAGGAGGCGATTGCTATAGTGATGGCGGAAAAGTTGTCTTCCAATACCAGTGGAGAGGACTACTCCCTCCCTCTTCCCCCTCCTCACCCCCAACACACAAAGAAAGTTTCAGATCTCTGGTTAAAAGAGGACCACTCGCCACTCATGGGTTGTCTGGGTTTGGAACCTGCTGGCATCCCGTTAGCAGGTGACCTTCTGGTATGCACATCCAAATGAGTCGGAGCCCTAGTGGGGTTTCCTGAAAGGCCAAGGACTTCCTGCCTGTTCTGGAAAAAGCACACATAGATCTCCCCAGATGTCACCCACCCAGCTAGCCCATGGCCGAGGGATAGTCATCCGGCAGTCACCCAGTTGTCCATCTAAGGCACCAGCTGTAGGGACAGTATCCCGTGCCAGAGCTGCTTGACGGATGTTGTTGACGGGGGAGAGTCTGGCTGTGGGTGCTCATTTTCCTTGAGTCTGTCTTGGATTTCGGGTGAGGTACCAGAGTTTGAGAGGGATGCTCTAAAGCCTGCTCCTCTGTGGTTGCTCGATCTCTCTCTCCATCCCTTTCTCTCTCTCTCTTTCTCTCCGTCTCTCTGAAGCATCTACTTTGTTTGAAATCAGTATTAAAGTACTCTTATTGTTCCTCCTGCCAGCCTATTAAAACTGCCTGGGCTTGGTTGCTTTTTCAAAGCATCTCAAGTCTTTTCTCTTGGTTGGTGAAATGAAAACACAATTATTCTAGTGGAACATTTGATGTTAGATGCAATCTAAGAAAATAGCTTACAGAACTGAGGGCTCTTCTGGAAGCAGCCAGGGCTCTGAGGGAGCGGAGTGGGAAGGAGAGCCGGCAGACGGAGCAAATTCTCAGAAAGGGTGGGGAGGAACCAGGGCTGTAAATGCCTCAAGGAGCTGGGTGGCTCCAGAGCAAGTCAACAGAAATTGATGACACTTTTGAGTGCTCTTATCCCTCCAGGATTTTATTTTTCAGTCCAGAATTATGCAGCTCTTTAAGAAGGCACCTCTCTCTCTCCTCCTTTTATCTTTCCCTCTTTTACCTACTCTTAATGTTATTTTTTTCTCTGCTTTAAGTTTTTACTGCTTTCCCAGCTCCAGCCTGGGACTCCCCTTCCTCTGACACCCACTCACTGTGCATCATTGGGTTGTAAGTGAACCTTCACAGCAAGAAACAAAGGCCTCCAGCTCATGTCCCTCTTATGCTGGGGCTCCAGCAGGTGGGAGTGTCAGCTCAGCCGATCTCTAACAGGACAGGGAGGGCATGCCTAGCTCTGAACCATGACTGAGGCTCCTGGGGGTCACCATGTAGCTCTTTTTCCAGCCCAAGCAGATACTTGCTGACTCTGTGATGATGATTTAGTGCCCAAGGGAGCCTCTGTGTCCCTCTCCTCCAGTCTTTCCACGTCACAGGAGGAGAAGTGGAAGTCCGGGCAGGTGACCTGGGGGAGGAGGAATTCACACACCCTCGAGCCAGACTCCCAATCCAGTGCTCTTTCCCTATTCGGGGAGAAACAGAGTCTGGGGGCAAAACTTTCCTGGCCTCTTCTTGGGGCAACATTTTAAGGACTTCATGGAATCCCGTGGGACCTATGCTCTTTGTCTTCTTACAGAATAAGGGGCTGATGGAGAGTAGGGATTTGGCTGGGAAAGTATATGGCTCTAGACCAGATGTTGCGATGCTCATGGGGCCAGGTGAGCAATGTAAATAAGGATAAAGCAATAGGGGGTGGTGGGGACTATGGCAAACAGAAGACTAAAAGAGGCAGCTGCTATGGAGTGCCAGCCTACTGCTGACACCGATGAAGGAGGGCCCAGTGTGGCCTGGTTTCTGACTTTTCAAGAGGGACCAGAAACCTAAGCTTTATAAAATATAAAATCTGATTTTTAAATATCGGCTACATTAAAATATGAAACCCTGAGTTGGTCAGAGGAAACTTCTCAGGTGATCTGAGTTCAGGCTGCTTGTTTTTTTTTCCCCCTGGGGGGATGTGAGTATGTTTATTTATTTATTTTTAATAGAGGTACTGGGGATTGAACCCAGGACCTTGTGCATGCCAGACAAGCACTGTACCTCTGAGCTGTACCTTCCCCATTCTGCCTATTCCTATGTGGACTGAGTGCAGCCCCTGTTCTGGGCACCGGGACCTGTCTGGGATTTGATAGGAGACAGGGCAGTAGAGGTAAGGGAAGCACAGAGCTGAGATGAGCATCAGCCGTGCCCTGGTGCTTTTTCCACCACTCTCCTCGAACCACTTTCCCGTAAAGGAGAAGGAAATTTTATATCCGAATGCTGGGGCATTTCTGTTTTAAGAGTAGAGGGCCAAGTTTAATGCTGGTGGAACTTTCTATCCTATCCAGACAGCAAAGGATTAGGAGGGATCTTGTTTTAAGACCTGAAGGACTCCCAAATCCAATGAAACTTAAAAAAAATAATTACTGCTAATTGAGGGCTTCCTGCATGCCAGGCATTCTATGTTTGCTCATTTAATCTTCCCAATGACCCTGTGGGGTAGATAGTATCTTTTTACATTTTATGGATGAAGAATTTGACGCTCAGAGAGGTTAAGTAACTTGTTCAAGGACACCCAGGACGTGGCTTTCTCGATCACGATGCTTTTCTTTCCAGTTACCCTCCCCAAAAGCCCATGCACACATAAACACACTCACTCGGTATACAGATACATAAAACTTTAACCAGGATTCTATTTTGATTACTAAGGCTCCTAAAAAAAGCGACTGTCATATCGTGTGCAGTTTTTCATTAGTGATAACCGTCCTTGGATGAGCTCACCCTTCCCATGAACTGTAATTTATTGATTTGGCAAAGGTGTCAGCGAGAGCTTGCTTGTAGCTTTATTCTATTTCCCAGCTCTCAGAGAAGAAGGGCTCAGCCTGAGAGGCAGCCCAACCCGACTCCGTGGCAGCCAGAGAGCTGGCAGCCTGTGAGGACCAAAAGTTACCCCATTTCTTTTCTTGCCATTCCCTTTGGGTGGAAGCCAGGCTCTCTGCTCTCACTCCTGTCCTTTCCCTCCATGATGAATAGGATAGCGCTGCCACCCCACAGCACCCTGTCTCTTTTTCAGTCTGAGCCACGAGCCCTGGCTCGGGATCAAGTGCATGGTGAGAGCTCCACACCCACCTGCCTGAGTGTTTGATTATAGTCAATGTATGGTCTGAAGCTCGGGAGAGAATATCTGTCATATTTTTGCGAAGGAGGTACATTTAATTTTTCTTAGGCAAAATCCATTTATCTTAGAGATCATATATTTGCTAGGAACAGAAGTCCCCTGGAGTTAAAGTAAGGGGAAGAATATTCTAAAGCCATGGATGGGCCTGCTGGAATCCAAGTAAAATGTGGACAGTTAGGCCACAAGAAAGGTGGGAACCAGGCTACTCCCAGGGCGACAGCAATCGCAGAATTCCCTGATCTCGCGTTATTGCTTCTCTGTAGGATGATTCAGCCAAACTCCACCTCTGATCTGCTCCCATGTGTGGCTGAATCTCCAAGTTTCCATTTCAGATTCCCAAAAGTGGCAAATCAAAGGCCATCGCTTGGGCAAGATGGTCATTACTGATGGAGCCAGCTGTGTATAGGGTACCCCCAAATGTTTGGTGCTCCCTATGATTTTACTAGAATATTATCATTACAACTAAGATTAGAGCAGAATGCCCGGAAGGGTGAAGTCATCCTTTTTAATGCTTGCCCCAAATGCCTTTGCTCTAAATTTTTAAAATTAAAAAATGCTTGAATTTAATTTTTAAAAATCAAACACTGGTGCTGAAGCCAAATGATTCCCCCTGCTCCATGGGTCAAAAAATGAACTTGAGAGGAAGTCATGGTGAAGAGGGCCAGGTTTTGTAACCTGCCAAGAATAGGAGACATCAGGGTTTAGATCCCAACTCAGACCTTGGACTGTTCTCATTTCTTTTGGAAAAATGATGATAACAACATAGAATGAGGGACGTTTTTGCAGCAAATCTCTGGAACTGGATGAGTAATGCCCCTGTTTTGAAGTAGTTAAGAGCACTGAGGACAGTGACTGGCACATAATAGATGCTCAGTAAATGGTAATTGTGATCATCAACTCCTGAAGGCAGGGATCACCATGTACCTAGAATTAAGTGCAAAATCAAGTTATTAACTGAATAACTGATAACCCAGCATGGCCCACTGAGAGCAGTAAGTGGCTACATGGAATAGAGTTGGTGAAAGAAGAACAGAAAGACAGCTTAAATTGGCAGAAAAAAAGCTTGCAAAAATAACCATCACAGGTTTTCAAAAACTCTAGTAAATATAACCAATTTTTTAATAAAAAGAGAAAATAGAATCATATAAATGTGAACTTAAAAGCCAGAAAATACAAAAAAAATGGAATACAAAAATAGGATCAAAGAACAAGGGCAGCAAATAGAAAACATTAACAAATGTGACAGATAATAATCCAACCATATCAATAATCACTTCGAATAACAAGAGTCCAAATGCGCCACTAAAAGACAGAGATTGTCAGAGTAGATTAAAAAACAACAACAACAAAACCAAGACCAACTGTATGTGGTCTACAAGAAACCCAGTTTCAATATAAAGACACATGTAGATTAAAAATAAGTGGATGGAGAAAATGATACCATGCTAACATTAATCTAAAGGAAGCAAGAGTAGCTATTTTAATCACAGAGCAGATTTCAAACTAAGGAAACTTATCAGGGATGAAGAAGGGCATTGCATACTGATAAAAAATCAGTTCACGAAGAAGATACAACAATCTTCAACAGTTGCTTCATAGCTTAACAACAGAGCATTCACACTACTTGAGGCAAAAACGAATAGAATTGCAAAGAGAAATAAATGAATCCACTTTCATAGTTGGAGACTTCCAACACTCCTCTGTAAGGAACAGACAGATCCAGCAGGCAAAAAATCAGTACCTTCAATCAACTGGATATTTTGTCTCTCTCTAGGTAGACTACTTCCCCCAACAACAACAGAATACAGATTCTTCTCATGCTCATATGGAACATTCACCAAGACAGACCTCATTCTGGGCCATAAAACAAACCTTGATGCATTTAGAAGAATAGAAACCATACAATGTCTACTCTCAGACCACATTGGCATTAAACTAGAAATCAATAACAGAAAGATAAAGGGAAAATTCCAAAGTACATGGAGATTAAACAACACACTTCTAAGTAACATATGGGTCATAGAAGAAATCTTAAGAGAAACTTAAAAATATTTTGAACTAAATGAAAATAAAAACACAACTTATCAAAATTCATGGAATTCAGTGAAAGAAGTTCTTGGATGGAAACTTATAGAATTGAATGCATACATTAGAAAAGAAGACGATCAAAATCAATCACCTATGCAATTCTAGGAAATCTATGAATTTCTAGGAAATTGGGAAAAGAAGAGAAAATTAAATCTGAAGTAAGCAGAAGAGAAAATAAGAATTAGAGCAGAAATCAATGAAATGGAAAACAGGAAATCAATGCAGAAAATCAATGAAACCAAAAGCTGGTTCTTTGAAAAGATCAATAAAATTGATAAGCTTCTATTCAGGCTAAGAAAAGCAGAGAGAGGCACACATTACTAATATCAGAAATGAAAGAGGGAATATCGCTACAGATCCTGTGGACATTAAAAGGATAGTAAAGCAATCATATGAACAATTCTATGCCCCCCAGTTTGGTAACTTGGATGAAACCGACCAATTCCTTGATAGGCATAGTTTGCTAAAACTCACACGAGAAGAAATAGACAATCTGAATAGGCTGATATCTATTTAAAAAATTAAATCAATAATTTATACCCTTCCAAAACAGAAACACGAGGCCCAGATGGCTTCACTAGTGAATTCCACTAAACACCTAAGGAAGGCATTATACCAATTCTCTACAATCTCTGTCAGTGGATAGAAACAGAGATAATACTTTGTAATTCATTCTGTGAGGCTGGCATTACCCTACTACCAAAACCAGACAAAAACGTTACAAGAAAAGAAAACCACACACCATTATTTCTCACTAACATAGATAAAATATCTTAAAAAATATTAGCCAATAGAACCCAACAATGTATAAAAAGAATTATACACTATGACTTAATGGATTTATCCCTGGTATGCAGGACTGGTTCAATATTCAAAAATCAATTAATGAAATCCATCACATCAAAAGACCACATGGTTATATCAATAGATGCAGAAGAAGCATTTGGCAAAATACAATATCCATTTTTGATAAAAATTCTTGGTAAACTAGGAATAGAGGGGAACTTTCTTAACTTGATAAGGATTACCTACAAAAATACTATAGTTAACATCACACTTAATGGTGAGAAACTTGAAGTGTTCCCACAAGATTGGGTACAAGGGAAAAATGTCCCACCTTACCACTCCTTTCCAACATCATACTGGAAATACTAGCTAATGTAATGACAAGAAAAGGGAATGAATGGTATACAGATTGTGAAGGAAAAAATAAAACTGTCTTTGCAGATGACATGATGGTCTATGTAGAAAATCTGACCCCAAATTCCTGGAACTAAGAAGGATTACAGTAAGATCACAGGATATAAGGTTACTTACAAAGGTTAATTGCTTTCCTATATGCCGGCATTGAACAATTGGAATATGAAATTTAACACACAATATCATTTACATTAGCACCCCCCCAAAATGAAATAGTTTTAGGCATAAATCTAAATATGTACAAAATCTGTATGAGGAAAAATATAAAACTCTGATGAACATAATCAAAGAACTAAAGAAATGGTGAACTAGTTTACATTTATAGATGAAAGAGTCAATATTGTCAAGATGTCAGTTCTTCCCAACTTGATCCATAAATTCAATGCAGTACCAGTCAAAATCCCAGCAAGTTATTTTGTAAATATCAACAAATTGATTTAAAGTTTGTATGGAGATGCAAAAGACTCAGAATAGCCAACACAATATTGAAGGAGAACAAAGTTGGAGGACTAACACTATCTGACTTCAGTACTTACTGTAAAGCTATAATAATCAAGACAATGTGGTATCAGTGAAAGAATAGACAAATAGATCAATGGAAAAGAATAGAAAGCCCAGAAACTGACACACATAAATATAGTCAGCTGATCTTTGACAAAGGAGCAAAGGCAATACAATGGAGTAAAGATAGTTTTTCGTCAAATAATGCTGGAACAACTGCATCCATAGACAAAAAAAAAAAAGAATCTGATGCTTACCTTTCAGAAAAATTAACTCAGAATGGATTACAGACCTAAATGTAAAATGCAAAACTATAAAAATCCTAGAAGATAAAATAGGAGAAAACCTAGATGACCTTGGATATGACTTCTTAGATACAACACCAAAGGCAAAATCCATGGAGGAAATAATCAATAAGCTGCACTTTGTTAAAATTAAAACCTTCTACTCTGTGAAAGACAATGCCAAGGGAATGAGAAGACAAGCCACAGACTGGGAGAAAACCTTTGCAAAAGACACATCTGACAAAGGGCCTTCATCCAAAATATACAAAGAACTCTGAAAACTCAACAGTAAGAAAACAAACAACCTGATTTAAAAAAATGACCCAAAGACCTTAACAGACACCTCGCCAAAGAATATATACAGATGGCAAATAAATGTATGTAAAGATGTCCCATACCTATGTCATCAGGGAAATGCAAAATGAAACAATACTGCACACCTATTAGAATGGCCAAAATCCACACTGACAATACCAAATGCTAGCATGGATGTGGAGCCATGGGAATTCTCATTCATCGACAGTGGGAATGCAAAATGGTATAGCAACTCTGGATAACAACTTGACAGTTTCTTACAAAACTAAACATACTCTTAGCATATGATCTAGTAATTGTGCTCTTTGGTATTTACATAAAGGAACTGAAAACTTACGTCCACATAAACTCCTGCACACAGTTGTTTACAGCAGCTTTATTCATAATTGCCAAAACTTAGAAGCAACCAAGATGAACTTCCATAGATGAATGGTTAATTAAACTGCTGTACATCTAGAAATGAGCTATCAAGCCGTGAAAGGACAGGGAGGAACCTGAAATCCATATTACTAAGTGAAAGAAACCAATCTGAAAAGGCTGCATACTGTGATTCCAAGTATATGACATTCTGGAAAAGGCAAAATTATGGAGACTATAAACCAGGAGGGATGGGGGAGGGTCGATTGGGTGGACCACAGAGAATTTTTAAGGCAGTGAGAAGACTCTGTATGACATTATAATGATGAATACTTGTCACCATACACTTGTCCAATCCCATGGAATGTACAACACCAAGAATGAACTACAGGGTAAACTGTGGGCTTTGGGTGATTATGATGTGCCAATACAGGTTCATCCTTTATAACAAATGTACCTCTCTAGTAGGAAATGTTGGTAAAGGGAGTGGCTGTGCATGTGTGGGTTAAGAGGGTACATGAGAAGTCTCTGTACCTTCCCCTTAATTTTGCTGAGAACCTTAAACTGCTCTTAAAAACAAAGTCTTAATATAAGAAATATTAGTGACACCATCATTGACTGACTAATAAGAATCTCTGGGAGGAGGCTTGTCTTTTTTCTGAATGCTCTTTGATGGATTTTAAAATACAGTCAAGGATAAGAACCACATTGGTCTTAAAAAATAATTCTGAATTTGCTCTCATTTTCCTTAATATATATTGATTTCCTTGTGTAAATCAATGAACTTCTAGGGGTCTGAGATTTCCCTAAACCTCGAGGTATTGTAAGGAGCCTACCAAAATATGAATCTATAAGTTGGCAGCTTCTAGTTGGTTTGTCTTCCTGGTGAGAACTGTGTTGGGGTTTCTGACGTCTGAGTAAGACGGGAACGTGAGATGACTGGGAGGAAGATCTTCATCTGTAGACACTTCCCACGGGCCAGGCTTGTGCTGCGTATCCAGTGTCTGTGACCTCAGTTATCACAGCCCCTTTGACCTGGGTCCTATTGTGCAGGTGGAGATTAGACAGGAAGACAAGTGGTTAAGTGTGTCCTGAGACAGTGGCAGACACATCCTAGGTGAGGTCTGCCTGGGAGGCAGGCTCCTGTGGCTCAGACAGAGCCCCAAGGGTGGGGAGGGGGGGGCTCCCTCTCAGCCCTCCAGACTCCCATCCAGGTGTGAGGGGAGCACAGCTGGCTCATTAAGCTGAAAGCAGCATTAAGGGGCCCAGGGAGGAAAGCGAGACATCTGTTCCCCTCGGCCCCTCAGCTGGCTCCTTTGTGTTGCATCTTTGTAAGAGTGGGTCCCCTCCTCCCAGTGAAGGCCGAGCTGGGGGCAGAGTGAGGGCCGGTAGCGGCCAGGGTGGGGGTTAGGGGGTGGGGAGCTGTGGTAAGCAACTCCTTTTTCCTTCTCCGTGTGCTCTCCAGGGCTGAGCTGTTTACTTAATAGCTGCCTTTGGTGGAGCCAGCCCCATTTCTACTTGGGAACAGCGTGCTGATCTGATTTTCTTTTAACCCAGTGGATGCAATTTGCAGCATCCTTCCTTCCCTGCCGCCCCCTCAACCCTGCTTCATTTGTTTGTTTTTATTCTATAAGGAGAGCTACTTCCACTGCCCCAGTTTACATTCTCAGCAACCATGCTGGCGGGTTCCCTTTTCTCCACTTCCTCGCCGACACTTCTTATTTGTGTTCTTTTTGATGACAGCCATTCTGACAGGCGTGAGGTGGTACTCACTGTGGTTTGGATTTGCATCTCCCTGATAATCAGCGATGTCGAGCCTCTTTTCATGTGCCTCTTGGCCATCTGCAGGTCCTCTCTGGGAAAATGTCCATTCGGGTCTCTGCCCATTTTTAAATCGGGTTGTTATTTATATCATCTGTAATTCAAAGGATAACTGACTTCAAAGCGACATCCTCAAACTCAGGTCTCTGGCCCCAAGCCCATGTCATTGTCACAGTGCTACACCGTGTTTCCTGTTTGATATATTTAATGAATGAGTTGTCACACTCTCATAATGATGGCTGTTACCAACATTTCATGTACAGGCTAGGAAACTGAGTAAGGTCCAGGAAGACGAAGAGAATTAGGTAACAGGTTAAGAGTACTTACTACCGAGGGGCTCCTGCCATTTCTACAGCAATATCCCTTCTCACCCAAGAATCTGAATTGGTATCAGTTCTGTTACTTCTTGAGAGAGGGTGTTTGACGGTTCTTTTCACTGTTGTGTCCGCAGTGGCTAGGACAGTAGCCTGGCATGATAGCTGTCTGCTGAATGGGTGAATCCCAAAGCCACGTCCTCCCTGCTCCTCTGCATGACCATGATCTTTTGGCATGGCTGCCTGTGCAGGAAGTCCTCCAGGGAGCCATCTGTCACCCATGTCTGCCCCAGCACCCCCGTGAGACACTCCCTATGGGCAGCTTCCAGACCCGACTTACACTGTCTGCAGTATATCTTTCGATTTGGAAGATATGCAAGGATGTAAGTGAAATGAAGATATGCCAGCCAAATAAAAGCTCACCCAAGCTTTATGAATTTTAATCTTCAGAAATATTTGGAAACCACTATAATTTAATGTTTCCACCAAAGTCCAGAAAGTGTGCGAATATATTTATTAAAACTGAATCAGTTTTTCACAACCAGTAGGCTTCTGTGATGTCCTGAGTCACTACACATCAATAAGAAGATGTATTACAGGAGATGAAAAAGAAACATTTTATTCTCTGTATAACTCAGTTTTCATCGCACCTGATCACTAGGGGAAGGGCCAGTTTCTGTTGGTTTCAGGATTTCCTTCTGCTCTGTTGGTGGCTGTTTAGACACTCCCCAGCCTATTTGGATCTGTTCCTCTCTGAGCCTGTGCAGTGTCTTTTTTTGGATGCCATTTCTCTCTCTGCCTGCCAGCGGCCGCTCAGTGCTCTCTGGGAGACCCGGGGAATAATTAAGGAGCCCGAGTGCCTTGTTTCTAGTCTGAACAGGGATTTGGGTTCTCCCTGCTGTCTCCTTGAGTTGGGGGGTGGGTGGAGTCGGACACATTTTATACTCCTGGCTCAGTCATGAGCTGGGTGAGCTTGGGAAAGGCATTAAGCCATTATTAGTATTATTTTTTTCATTTGGGAAAGAGATACTGAAATCTAACCCTCAGAGTCGCTGTATGGGGACAGAGTCCTGACGTACCTGAACTTCAGGTCACACTGACCATGTGACCTGGGTTGGGGGGGGGTCTGGGAGTGTAGCCCTAATTCTAAAGCCTTCTGCTCGATTTTAAACATTTCTGCAGAGTTTGCATGGTATTCCATAAAATATCCATGCTTGTTTTGATATCCAGTGAGGCAGTCACGCCCCCCCCACCGCCCCGCATCTTTAGATAAGAGATGTGACGTGACGGTGTGCTGTGCACATCCTGCAAAACCCTGTGATGCCTGGCATCAGCTGCCTGTCCCCACCACCCAAAGGGGAGTCTGAGGAAGCGCAGGTACAGTGTCTGCAGCTTGGTAAGGCCTTTGAAAACAGGCTGAAGGGATCAGCAGGTAATGGGCTCTCTGGGGAGCCCCGTTTGCCCTTCCCCTGCCCCTGGACCTGCCGCTCTCTGCTTCTGCAGTGCCGGCCTCCCCTCTCCCCCGGGGTCTGGCACTTGCTGCTGAGTGAGTCTGTCAGCATTTCCCCCACGGAGCTCAGCCTGACTAATTAGCCTTCCCGGCCTGGTTGCTGAAGCCACAGGGCTCAGCCAGGCCAGCACTTTTTCACACAGCATCTGCTGAGAAAAAGCGAGGTGGAGTCCTTAACCCTGTCTTGTCAACGCTGCGATCTCTGGGTACGTCTGTGTTGCGTGGGCACCTAAGGACTTGCAGGCAGGTGGGCGTGGGTACGTCCTCCCATTGGCTTGAGGGACGTGGGGTGTGGGTTCTGCTCATGGGGCCAGTGGACATCTCTCTGGATGGTCAGGGCTGGTTGGAACACTTGGAAAGACTTAAGCCAACGATTCACATCAATCTGGAGGATAATTTAGGGTAGACGTGACGTCAGGTAACTGAAGCTATTTTCCTAATTTTGACCCAAATTTTATTTAAAAAAATTTTTGGTCACCTAACTTGGCCTTTTTGTTTCAAAGAAATTATGGTCAGTCAAAAAGTTTTTTAAAAAAGTCAAAATGAGGATCAGATATTTCTTTCTTTCACATGCATTTAATACAGGTTTGAGGCCATTGCGGCCTGAGGTTTAAAGAAGGTCATGTCATCAGTAATCTCCTATGCATTCCTAGCGTGCATCCTCTCCTGCTGATGCAGGACCCCGATGCCGAAAGCCCCTCAGGTGTTCCTGGTGCACCGGGGGGGGGGGGTGTCCCATGAGAGCTCTTGAGTGAGCTTGGTCAGCTGCTGCAGGCTTCTGCTGGGTGCGGCTGCCGCTGGGCCAACTGTGTATTGTCACCTGTGCTGGATGTCGCCATGTCCACAGGGCATTGTCCCTGCCCCCACCTGTACCCCATCTCCCATGGCGCACCACAGTCTCCCTCCACAAACAGTTGCCCTCTCACTGAGGCATCACTAATGCCCCAGAGGGAATGGCTGTCTGCACTCTGTGCGTCCCCAAAGCAATCCTGCCTGCAGCTTCTGCCTTAAAGAGTAGTCAGGCATTGGGCTTTCAATGTTTATTTAAGGTCCTCTCTCCCTAGGGGATCAGGAGAGTGTGAGTTAAAATCTGGGCAGTGGGTTCAAAGTGATTGTAGTTTGAAACCTGACTCTTCTTTGAGACTGAAGAACTTACACACATCCCGACACATTTTTATACGTGCACACACATGCTTGTGCATACACACTTCTTCAACTTGATTAGGAAAAAGTAATCCCTTTGTATTTTTAAAATGAAGCAAAATGTTGTGCTATAACTTCATCCTGGGGGTTGATCTCCTCTAGGGGCTCCTAGTCTTTCCCTAGGACCCCCAAATCCAATGTCTACAGGAGTTGGGCAGAGAATTGGTGTGTGAATCAGACTGTGATTAGACATTCATGCATGGTACACATTCCACATCCAAAGGCAATCAAAATCAAACCTTTAAAAACTGCTGGGCAAACATGGATGGGTTCCTCTGAGCAGGAAACCACCAGGCTCTCGAACCCCGACCTTGCCCCACCGCCAAGCATCCCTGGACTCTCCTGCCCCTGGCCCCTCCCTGCTCTTCTCCTCCCCTGCTGGGTGTCTGGAGCGTTCTGGTCCTCTCACCACATTACCTTGAACAGTCACCTTGTTCAATTAGGCTTTGAGCTCTTCAAATGCTGGGGCAGGCAGATGTGAACTTTGATTTCATCTCCACCAAGTCCTCGATTTATGGCCTGGCTATTAAAAGTCTC